TTTTAATAATATTTAATAATTTAATATAGTATTAATATTATAATATATATATATATATATACATATATATTATAAAATTAATATATTTAATAATATTTCAAAATAAGTTTGCCCCCCTCCTCATTAAAAAGCCCTAATTCCAAGAGTTTTCGTAAATAAAATAGTTGTAGTTTGCGATGAGATGAAGCTATTTGCGAAGTTTCAGGAGGATGTTAATAATTCGATAAAAAGAGGTCTGTACCACGGACTATTCGATAATGAAATGTTCCTCCCTTGTCAAAACGAGGAAAAAGAGCTGTAAATTCTTTAACACAAGTTTTAATCTATTTTTGATCTTCAAAAATACAATCGATTGTAACTCTGCCCATTAAGTCGTTAAGTCGAAACAAAAAGAAAAAAAACCTGAATTGATTTACAAGCTCGTTTTGAATTTTAAACAAGGTAACTAAAGGCATTGTCTGAGATATTGCCCGACCAAATTGTTAAACGTTTACAACTTTTATAGCCGGTGTAAAATCTTTCACCGGAGTATTATATTGCATTGTAAAGAGATTAACCCAAGTATTGTGAGTGGGGGGGGGGACAGTTAGGGGAACGTTATAATAATTTTCCATTCTTTTTTTTTTCTGACTAGATAAGAACCTCTTAGTTTCTTATTAAGTTACATTCTTTTTCATGCTTCTCATTACACTTCCTATCAGAAAAGAATATCTCATACATTATTAGTTCGAGGAGGCGTTCGTCCCCCTCCCCATAAAAATGTTGAGGGGGCTCCTTCCCTCAATAATTAGAAGTAAAAAAAGAATAAAATAAAAAATAAATAAGCTATACAAGAATGAGTCAATGTGTAAAATAAAATCAATTAAGAAAAGCTAACTAGCTGTCTTATAGCAGTTATTTAACAATTCTATTTACAAAGGAAGGAGATGGTCCGGGGTGGCGGTCATAAATAGGCTAAATAGTGGCAAAACTATTTTATTAAAAGCCACCGTTTCGACCATATTATATCCTTTTCCCCTTTTTGAAATAATTTTTGCAGCATTTTTTTATGTTTCTCTGAGGCTCCTTAGTTCCATTTCAGTTTTTCAGTATTATTCTAAAGGGCCTCGTCCCAGGATAAATAAAATATTATTATTACAACTCCTAAACGATGCATCGAAGCGAAAAACGTACCATTTAAAAAATTAAAGAACGTTAAATAGTAAATTGTCTCAGTTTTTAAAGAATTTGGTAAAAGTCAGTTTTCCTGGCCCTAGAGACCCTCCTGGGACAAACCCAGCCTCTATAAAGTGGGTACTCTTAATATATAAGAGAGAAAACTCGGCGGTTGAGCGTGATATTGTCCCGTCATCTCCCTCCACAACCGTTGGCCATTTAACTTCCTCACATTGTACCAAACCCAAGATCCTTCATGGGTTTTTAGTGGTATGGTTTTTTTTTTTTCTTATAGGCTACGATTTTCGCTTCGATGCACCATTTAGGAATTATAGTGAAGAAAAACTTTGCTTTTTTGGCTGTAAAAATTTTTCCTTGGTAGCCCGCATTCGAAATTTTGATTTTTACATGTCTCAACCAATATATACATGTTAAAAATGTATTCCCACATTTTTCGTAATGATTTTCCTGTTTCTATCCTCAAGTTACTAGTCTAATATTCTTTAAATCAGCCGCCATTTTTATAGGTAGCAAGTTCTGTCTGGCAGACTCTCATTTTTTTAAATATAAATATTATGAATATTTTTTTGAAAAATGCGTTTAGAATGACACAACGTCGATTTATTTCTCACGGGGCTCTCGGACTAGATGAAATGGCTGTGGAAAAGCGAACAAAACAACAACATCGTTATGACGAATTCAGGACAAGGTTTTTTCTTTTTTTTTTTCTAATGCGGACATAGCTGAGATGTGGGTCAACAAGCCTCTCGAACAGTACAACATAGTTCAGTGCGCAATCTGATCGATTAAAGCATTATCTCATTAAAGAGATATTAAATGGCTGATGTTACACAAAATAAGTATTGAGGTTATAACAAATATCTTTTTAATGGTTGCCTTGGATTCGATGAAGATAATGGCTGTGTTTATTCTGAAATGGTACGATTATAAAAGCGATTTATCTTACACTCTTCACATATACCTTCAAAATAAAAAAACATTTTTACTATAACCTTCAATTTCCTCCTCTTTTCTGTTTACAACAGTGTTGCCACTTGAGTCTTCTTTGCAGTGTTGTTGTTATTTTCCTATAATTTATTACAATTGTGAAATGTTTAATCTTCCAACAATTGTTCGTGTTTTTTTTTTATAATTTACATGCCCTTCTGAATTAATTTACTATAGGATATATCTTTATTAATTATTTAAATTTTTATTAGTTGTATTTAAGTAAAAGTAAAAAATTCGTAAGTGCAAACAATGGGATAAAGGTAAACATTGGCAAAAAAATCCAAAATATTTTTTTTTAAATAACAGGATACACTAACTGTTTATTGTTGTTGCTATGCCATAATATAAAGGTACAATCATTTAGAGAGGGTAAATATTTAGGAACAATAAATATAAACAATTAGATAGTAGGGATTCAAACAATTTTTTTGAAAAAGGTGGGAGTTAAATACAAACCGATAAGATGTATCCATGTTTCAAGGTAAAAAATATTAAAATATTACCTCTTAAGGTATTATTGTTCATGTCATTACTGGGGGTGCATTTTGGGACTCAGATACCCAGCAACTATGACCATTTATAAAGGTGTTATTGTGAATATCCTGAGGTATGCTTCTCCTACATGGAGCCAGAATTTCTCGCACAGACAGAAGTGTAGGTTGGCCACGATTCAGCGGATGGCTTTGCTTTGAGTCTCCAGATCATTCTGGGCGATGTCTCATGAGGCGATGCAAGTCTTGGCAGGAGGAATACCTCTCGACCTCCTGCTGAGAGAAGACTACTGCCGGTACAAGATTAGGAGAGAATGTTTAGCGGCTCTACCGGATTACCTCCGAGTGAGAATAGGAGATGATCCAAGAAACTGGAAGAATATCCTCCGGGAGGATACAGTAGAAGAGTGGAACTGACGGTAGTTGACGGCTCCGAAAGGAGCAACCCTAACAAAGTACTTTCCCACCGTCAGTTTGCGACTAGAAGCAATTTGGGTCCTCCCGAACTACTGGATCTCACAGATTATCACTGGGCATGGGGGTTTCCGAGCAAAGCTCATCCAGTATGGTATAAATATTGATCCCCTAAGCAGAGAAGCTGCACCGAGGAGACCGTCAGAATAAAAAGCAGAGAAGCAGACGAGGCTCAGGTGAAGAGCAAGCTGTGTGTACAGCTGAGAAACAGAAATTAATATTTAAAAATGCAGCAGTGGGTTGTTATGTAAAAGTAACATCCCACTGTTGCAAATACCAGTATTGCCTTCAGGCAGGGGGGGGGGAGGGTTCAAAATAAATAAATAAAATGTTCATGTAATTACATTTAATAGGGCTTCAAGAATCATTTTAGCACCATTCCAAGTAGGTAGTTAGTGTGTTTCTTTTTTTCCAGAGTAATTATCGTTTTTTATATATATATAAAATGAAATCCTCCCCAAAATGGAATCCTGGATTCACTAGTGTAATCAGTAACCATAGTTTATAGTAACTTTTTATAAGTTTTAATGTCTTCTATCACATGTTATCAATTATATGAAATTAATATCAATCACGAAATTCGCCATTGATTGATGTCGAATATGATTCTGTTGTCAATGACTTTTTAGAATCATTAAAAGAAAGAAACTTTGAATACAAATTTGAACGATCGAACATGTTTTAAATGTTATTAAACTTCAAAAAGGTATCGTCCACCATGAACAACATCAATTCTGTGGTTCAAAGCAATTTTTGCTTAAAGTGGGAATACAATAAACATAATCTCATAAATATATCCATTACAATTACTTTTATCAACAAAATGTAAAAGGTCATTTTTATAGACATTTTAAAGTACTTTAATATTCTACTGAACAATCTTTGGGGAAACTGCATAGATTTTGAGTTATTCTTAAAAATAAAAGATGATTTTTCTGTACTTCTCCCCCTCCCCCCATCAAATCTTTTTACCAGTTATTATGGAGAGATTAATAAACAAGTTTCATGTTTATTTTTTGAATGTTTGGGTAAGGGTTGGCTGTTTTTCTTCTAACTTCACTGAACTATTACGGCCGGAATTGAAAACAGAAATTACAAAGTGTATGAGAATAATTAATTTTAATCTATTATTAATAAAGAAACTGAATTAGGAACATATTGAATTAAATAAAATTCAAATATGACTTCATATAAAACAGTTTAAGAAATAAATTTAATTTGGGGGATGACATCATTGTCCGGGAACGCCTAATGTCTAAGACCACCACTGTTTGAAAGCCTTTAGAACAATAAATAAAATAAAATAAAAACTGTATTTACAGAGGCAATGATACTTTTAGGAATAAATTCCTGACATGTGTTTACATAATCAGCTGTGTAATTGAAAAAGAGAATATATTGTGATTGTTTAAGCGTTTAGTTGACATCATTCACAGAAACAAATATGGACCAATGAAAAAAAAATGATCATTCTATTTGGGCGGAGGGAGGGGATAAACCCTCCTCCAGTGCTATTGTGCATCTTTCACGAAGCCCAAAATAGTGGTTTTTGCTTGAATTATTTATTTATATATTTTTTCTTATCACTTTATTTTTGCAGATGAAATTCTATAAATTGCGAATTTCGAGTTTACGAATATCTCAATCGAACCAACTAGTTAAAACATGACATTAATTAAAATTTAAATGTACAAAATTAAAGCATTACAATGCTTTCAATTTTTTTAGATTGCAAATAATATGTTTTCAATTTTTTTATATTGAGTTTGATTGACTAAAACAGATATTAGTATATATAACATATCATTATATTATTGAGTTATCTCAATTTAGATATAAATAATAAGTAGTTAATTTTTGCTTTGACAGAGGTTCCTGACGATGAGGAATGGATCTTGGTGCCGCCGGATGGAGGACGAGGATGGTTCATCCTGTTCGGGACCCTGCTCATCAACATGCTCATACCAGGGACTGTCAAGTCCTTCGGGGTTCTCTTTGTCGAGTTCTTGGAGGTCTTCGATGCCACTCCTCTCGTCGCCTCGTGGATACCTGCCCTCTGCTATTTCTTATATGCATCTATTGGTATGTTACTGCATTTGTAATGGCAAATGTGGTGCTTTTACTAATTTAATATCTTTGAATTTAATTTTATTTATTTATCTCTTTTATGTTCTTTCTGTCTATCTTTCTACAAACGTTAAATATTACAACAGTTTAAAATACAATTTAAAAAAAAACTCTCTTATTAATTCGTGTTAGGACTATTTACAACAGAGGAAACTCTCTTTCTGTGTCGTCTTGAAATCATGCAGATAACTCAGTTATTTGTATAATATTGAAGAGTCTTTTGGTTTTGAAAAATAAAAGTATATTTGTGAGTAATACTGTCACTATATATTTAATTAGGCCGATCACAAAACTATTCATTATGCTTCACCGAAATACTTTACCACAAATGTATTTATCTCACACATGGTTTTTATTTTTTATATTAAAGGATCAAATTAAATACATCATTTAATTGATCACTTAAATAGCAACGAAACAAACATGATATAGTGTACTTTTTATACTGTGAATATCACCCTCTATGTACTATTCACAGCCTACGGAACTGACTTAAAAGGAAGGACCAACATCATCTAAAAGAAAATATTCATATTTTTTTAATGATTATATTTTCAAACCCTTTTTTTTACTTCATTTCATATATTTTCACTTAAATTTTTTGTTGTATTAGAAGCTTTTTTAATTTCTTTATTATGTATGTGGTGAATTCTATCTCTTCCTATTCAAATTTCTTAATCGGTTTTATATCACTGTTTTTTTTTTAACAACATTTCTGTGTTTTTCACTCATGCCTACCAGTTTTCATTTTCTACATTCCTGATTTCATAATCAAGGGAACGGAATAGCTCTGTGGTTAGGCACTGAGCTTCCAATGCTCAAGGTCTGAGGTTCGATTCTGGCATATGGCCAATAAATTATTTATTCTGTTTCATCAACCATTGATAAATCCTGGGATTGGGAGACCCTCCTGTGGCACACCCAGCCTCTATAAAATGAGTACCCTTAATTGAATGATTAGTTAAGGGGGAAAACCTAGTGGTTGAGCGTGATCTCAGTCAAATCACCTCCTTGTATATTGACCAAGAAACAGTAGCTTCCCTGCATTCTACCGATCCCAAGACCCTTCATGGACTGTAGTGGTACAAGTTTAAATACATAAACCACAATAAAACTCCTTAATTTAATACATCCATACATTTTTATTTTGTGATTTTTTAAAGAAATGTTTTATTAAAGCGGATGCTTAAAATCCAATATGAAAATCAGACAAATTCGTTCAAGGTAATTATATCTATAAACTTAACCTAATTATTTTTTATTTGTCATTTAACTTAGTTTTTTTTTAGAGTTTATTTAATGTTGATACCAATTTGGTTAATCAAAAGCTTAAAATTTCTTTAAACAATTTTATAAATTCAATAAAATTTATTTAAGTACTTGAATAAATAAAAGATAAAATTTTACATAAAACTCAGGAAAAAAAGTTCTTTGAAACATTTTTACAAAAAAGTTCCATAAAAATTATTAAAAAGGAACTTTTTCAAAAAGTTTCAATCCCTGTAAGTTTATGTTTCCTTTATTTTATATTAAAAAGACTTCTTGTCCAGTAAGTATTTTAATATATGGTATAAGAAATGTCAATATGAAATAAGGAATAAAGTAAGTGAAAATTGGTGAAGGTTAGAATGAGAATGAGAAAAAATTCATTAAAAATCAATAAATAGGTAGAGATATACTTTACAAAATATCTAATATGGAAAGAAAATATTTACTTTCACAAAAAGAAATCCAAGGAGAACTCAAGGTCGGATCTAAGTCATTAAACTAATTGTTTTAAATTTTATTGGAGAAATTAAAAAAAAAAAAAAAAGGAATTGAACCTATTGTAATGAAAATTATATGCATTTTTTTTTTTTTTTTTTAACATTTATATAGAATGTAAAAATGTTGGAAATGTAATTCTTTCTTTATACTTATGGATCATCTTAAATAAATAGACTGAATGAATCAAGAATTGAAGGTATTTCTAGTTATTCTTTCAATCACATTGTTATATTTTTTCTTTTTTTTAATAACAGTAACCTGATAGTAAATTTTAAAAAAATACACTTTGAATGCTCTTGTCACACCTGAACTTCCTTCTTCTGCTTCTTGAGGCCAGTTCCAGATATTAGATATTTCAGTTGCAATATAATCTGCTTTCGGTTATTTATACTATATTTGAGGAAAATTTAAAGTTCATCACTCCATTCGTCGCGCTTCCGAACAATAATTAAATACTAGATCCTCTTCACAAAAGTTCTAATTCAGTACTCGGTTTGTTTTATAAACATGATTCAATCCTACATCGGTCTTACTACTCTTTTCTCAAATTTAGAATTTTTGTTTTCTCTATACTTTAGGGGCATTTAAATGTTTTCCTCTTTCTTCACTCATGATCTACTTATATTTTTTAGGTCTTCGAAAAAACAAAAACAAAAAAATAACCAACAGAAATAATATTTAAGTTATATTTTATACTGGATTACTAAAAAACCATGGATATAATTAATAAAGAGAAATGTGCCCCTACGATTCTATGAGCAGGGAAGGTTACAGAGACATTGATTACATTATGATCTGACTAAGTGAGCCTTATAGGAGAAGGATATTTAAAAAGAGGAAACAAAAAAATATTTATACCGTAAGTGTGTTTGTCAGTAACTTAAAAATTCCTCGTCCTCACGGATGAGATAGATGATGATTTTCATATCCAAGCAAGGAAGGTCATTTCTTTTTAAAAAGTATTACTTGTTTGGATGTGAACATTATATTCAGGAATATCATTTGAAAAATATATTCATTTATGAAACTGATATTCCTGACATTTGCCATTATGTTTTTTATTTGTAGTTTGTTGCAGGCACAGATTCAGGCGAGAAAATGTATGTACAAGAAGAACTCTTAGGTACTGAGTATTTCAGACTTGATTTCTTTAAAATGTTTACTTTTTATTTGAAACTTGTATGTAATATTTTTTTTAAATATTTTTCAGATTTAATGAAGAACTGCTTACGGAAACGGAAAGAAAAAGAGTTTAACATGGGCAGGATATGTAGCTTGGAACAATACATAAAGAAATCTCTACACATATATGAATACCGCAACAGGCCACATAGAAGACCAAACACCTGAGTGATAGATAGAATCAGTTCAGATGCTGTAGAGCTGCATGCAGATAACTAGAAAGCGGCCGCCGAAGATAGGCTGAGATGGAAAAGACTGGTTCTGTTGGGAAAGATCTACAATATCTATAAAGCCAGCAGAAAAAAAAAAGAATATATATATATATATATATATATATATATATAGAGAGAGAGAGAGAGAGAGGTTTATATTATGTGGAGGCAAAAAGATGGATACACACCAAAAATTTGATTTTTTTTTTTCCATTTTTAATCAACTAATAAAATCACCAAGAGAAGAAAAATTTGGAAGGAAACGATCAATTCTTTTTTTTTAATTCATCCTTATTATGAAGATTTCATAAATAAAATTCAGAATAAAGGGACAGAAATAATATTGAATATGTAAAGCTACAAAGAAAGATGTTTACAAATTTCTTGATACACTGATTAGTGCTTGTGAAATTATAAACTGAATGAAATATTGTAAAGTTGTATTCCCCCATTCTTTATCCAAGTTAATTTATATTAGTAGTGTTGAAAGATAACAAAACAAAGCCTTAAGTATTTGAAAAACCAGTAAATAACTTCCAGTCAACGTTTTGCATGTTCAAGCATCATTTGGGATAGGAAAAGATTAGATAACTGTAGACTAGAAATAGCACATCTCACCTCAACAGTTAAATAATTAGATTATTTAATATTACATTGCTTCATGACAGATTAATTGTTGTTGTTATTTGTTTATTATCAAGGATATATACATAAGAATACTGTGTATAAACAATATGATGTTGAATATTCTTTAAAATGTATTTATTAATGCATGTGAAAAAAAATGAAAATTGTTCAAAAATAGTATTAAGCTTTAACTACCTACTGTTGTAAAAGTAATATTATTAACAAAATACGAAAGAGCATTGGCCGTAAAAAATAAAATTTTAAGAATTTGTTGTATTTTATTATTCTACCCTAATTATAGATTTTCAGGATGTTTTATTGGCTTAGTTGAAGACTTCACTAATTCTAACCTTCCTGATCAGTCTCTGACTATTTTAAATAAATCCAAGATGAGTTTACTGGTGAAATATATCAACCTGCTCAAATGTTATAACTTTATAACTGTTTCAAATTCTTCTTTTTTTTTTTTCTACTTTTTAGTACTACTTATATTAATTGATGACCGATTATTAGTAGAATGATGAATATTACGTATTAATATTTCTTTTATGTTTCAGGCCCTCTAACCACTTACCTGTCATTAAAGACCTCATATAAAACTGTTACAATAGCTGGCGGACTCTTTGCCTCTGCTGGTTTGATCTTGAGTTGTTTTGCAACGAGTATAGGATATCTTTACTTCAGGTGATTAATTATAATTTATTTTTTTGTAAGAATGTTGATATTTATCAGTAAGCTCTTCTTTTTTTTCATGGATATACAGTATAACTTTATTTTAATTTTTTTCATTATATGTCCATGTCCCTGCCCCTTTTTTCCTTTATTAATCTAAAAATCATTTTAAACTATTGTAACATCCCTCTTATATTTTAAAATAATAATAATAATATAACCTCAGAAGATCACTTTATAGCCTTAGGATACTTCCAAAAGAAATAAGAGTTTTTTTTTTTTTGGTTTTTTTCCTACCCCCCAGGAATTCCTTGATTACAATACAATATATATATAAATGTTATATATACATAAATTTTTCAATTTCCTTTTATTGCCCAAGGGCATTTTAAGGTAAGAGGGCTCTGCACGCTGTATGCAGGTTGTTAAATAAAAAACAAAATTATAAGAGAATTATTATATTTATTTATCTCGGGTATGGGTTACTGACAATCAGATCAACTCAGACAAAGTATTATTATTTACACTAAAATTAAACACTTATTTTAAAATAAAGTCAATTATGGATTGGCAAGCTAACCTTTTTCTATATACACTGTTTCTTCCTTTGTGACACTGAACTCATTTGCCTTCAAACACTTTCCAAAGTTCGACCAAACAACTCTTCCAAATTGGTACTATTATTACTGGGTTTTACCCACTGGAGCCAGGATCACTTCTCTTAACCTCTCTTCACTGCAGTCACACAACAACTGTTTGCCAAAACCAAAATCTTTTTCCCTCTCCTCTTTGGGATTTTCCATCTTGAGAAACTACAGAGCAGCCATTCCCTTTTCCCTGCACTAGTAGAACTAGATTAGCTTGCCTTTTAATTGTTCAATATTAATTTATTAAACCCTTTTTACTCACTTTCAATAAAGGTGTACATTACACTATAGTTTGATTGCAATTAATTGGCAGCCTTAGGGCTAACATTACGAGATATTCACGAATATATACATATATTGAAGTATTATATTGTAATACCTCTCTCCTCCTCCTGGATGGATCTAATGGGGTTCTAAAAGGAATTAAAGATTTTAAATATCTTGGTTCCATAATTGAAATAGATGGTATATGTGATGTGGAAATAAAAAGAAAAATTTCAGATGACAAAAAGACCATATCAATGCTCAACTCGGTATTATGGAACCGGAACATTATCCCCAAAACATCTACAATAGTATAGTACTGAGCATTATGACATATGGGTCAGAAACCTGGACCATAAAAAGCAGCCTCAGGAAAAAACTTCTAGCCACCGAAATGGACTACTAGAGTCGAGCAGCGGGAATATCCAGAATGGATAAAGTGAGAAATACGACCATCAGAGAAAAGATGCAGGCTACAAGAACCATTCTGGAAGAGATTGAGATAAAACACCTGAACTGGTATGGACATTTGAAAAGAATGCCAGAAGAAAGACTACCCAAAGAAGTTCACTTATGGAAAAGTAGGGAAAGAAGAAGACTAGGAAGTCCTGGGATAACGAAGTGGAGGGTCATGGTCATGGTATACGGGAAGAATGGACCTTAGATAGGATATTATGGAAAGAAGCCATCCAAGGTTTATGTTAAGGAAACCTCCTATTAGTGGAAACCCCTAATGAAAAAAATAAAGAAATCGTAATATTCTAATTTATGTAAGTAACGTCGAAGGGTTAGGAAAAAAGCAAAATGTTAGTTTGAACTATATTATATTACACATTTTGTATCATTTATATATTGTTTCAAAAGAGTACCACAATTTAAGTACCTTGGCTCTATTATCGCTGAGGATAATAAACATAAAAAAAAGAAATAAAGGCAAGGATAACAGTTGCTAATAGGTGCTATTGGTCCCTAACAAAAATCTTTCAAAATTGAGATACACAAAGAGCTCTCAAAATAAGAGTATAAAAGACAATCCTGCAACCAGTTGTTATCTATGGAAGCGACTCCTCGAGAAACTCACTCTATGAAGAAAGGGAAAGAAAAACCCTTCGTAAAATTGGCCAAACCAAAAAAGTAAATCTTTGGTAAATCGAGACGAATGAAGAGCTGAAGAAGCTATATAATATCTCTGATATTATATCCACCATAAAGAGAGGAAGGATTAGATGGTTAGTCATGTGCGTAGAATGGAACATAGCAGGATTGTTAAAATGATAATGGGAGACACCTGTGTGGAAGAAGAACAATGAGGCAGTCCTAGATCTCGTTGGCTAGAATATATCGAAAATGATTTAAGGAGCCTGTGTGTAGTCGGATGGAGAAGGGCGGCCGAAGACAGGTCGGTTTGGAGGAAGATAGTGAGAGGCCAAGGTTCTGCAAGAACCATAGAGTCATCGGATGATGTCTTGTATCTCTTCACTTCCAAAGCTAAAGTTTGTTTGGAGGTTAACTGATTGGTCATTATAATAGTGAACAGAACATGTATATTTTGAGAAGGAGTTGGTCAGTGGTGAGGTCAAATTAAATACTATATATGATAATAGTATTTTATTGGTTAGGCCAACGTTTCGACCCATTTTATAGGTCATCATCAGAACTACAAGAAATTCAAAAAATAAATTGGTACAAATTAAAAAAATAATAAAGTGAATGAATTATTAGTAGATATTAAACAAGTATAAGTTGTCTGATAAGGAAATTAAAGAACTTATAAGATGACATCGGTGATGTAGTGAGTTAACATATAGTATAGCAGTATATCATTATCTACGACGTGTACTGACAAATACCTTTTTGGAAATCTGCTATGGCCATATTCTTCTATAAATTCTAAGAACATGAGTAACTCTCATGTGAGATAATATCTAGATTATAATTTTCTTTCTTTCTAATACTGAAAAATGACATTTTTCTAAATTCACTTGAGAGCTAAGCATATTCCACTTGGAAATAAGCAGTAAATTTCACTCAATAGTGTCAGGTAATGTTTGTAAATATAAAATTATTGAATAAAAAACTCTCAAATGTATTTTTAACATGCGTGAAAGATTAAGAAATCTCTGAGATTTGAATGAGTATTGTTTCTGAATTGGTCAAGTGGCATTATCTTCTAAATGAAAATTTTCATTCAAGTGCAGTTTATAAAGTTAGAGAAATGTGACATAGTGTCCTTTACTTCTGTGCAGACCTGGGCAATATTTCAAATGAAATATTTTAAAATACAAAATAAAATACATTATTTGTATTTTGCATTTTAGAAAGTAAAATATAAAATAGATTGTTTATAACTGTTTCCTTTAAAAAAAAAAAAAAAAATGAATTTGTATTTTATATCAAGATACTAAAATACAAAAAATGTACTTTATTTTGTATTTACAAAATAAATTAGACTTCCCATGTTATAGGGTAATTGTCCAGTAAGTATTTTGTATTTGTACTTCGTCTTTAAAATATATTGTATTTGAAAAACACAAAATATACGATATTTCAAATTCCGTATTTTAAAATAATAATTTTTTTTTATTATTTTAATGGAATTTACAACTGTATTACATATAAAATACAATAAGTAAATGTGAAATTGGTAACATGACATGTACAACATGAAGAGAAACTACCCATTGGTAGAACTCAAATTAAAATAATAATTAAAATAGTTTCTGTCCAGGTCTCCCTCTGAGATACACTACACTTTTATAATTTATATTTATATAATTATATTTTTTCAGTTTTGGAATTCTCGTCGGATTAGGGGCAGGATTATCTTTTCCACCGGGTATATATTTGGTCACTTCATATTTTGTCAAGTATCGAGGGTTAGCCAATGGCGTTGCTATTTCAGGAAGTTGTATTGGCTCGATTATATTTCCTCCTTTCCTTCGTTTTCTACTTCAAACATATGGCTATAGGTAAGTAAAAAAGGAAATAAATTTTAATTGTTATGTTATTATATCTCAGTCATTTATTTCCAAAGTGAGTGCTAATCATGAATAGCAAGTTTTCTGGAAATGTGAAAAACTATATTTTATATTGCTCCTGCAATATCAAAACCTTTTTTTTTTTTTAAATAAATAAATTAAGATGTTTTTTGTATTTATAGGCATATTTCCAAAATTCATTGATTATTTTAATATTAATTTAAAAAACATTTAGAATTAAATAGGTCCTCTTTTACAATTAAAAAGAGGACTAGCAACTAGGACTTAGAACTAGCAAAAGTTGATTCCTCTTCAGTTTGGAGAGAAAAATGGTGCCTGTGAAGAAAGTTATTAGAATTGTACTTACAAAATTTAAATTTATCTTAGCAATAATAATGATACAATAAAATCAGTTTATTTTATTATTTAAAATTTATTGTCAATATTTCATTTGAATAAAAAGTTTTTAAAAAAAGAACTTTTGATGAATTATTTCTTTTAAAAAAATACTTAGGAAATGCAATTATAGAAGGAAGTTAATCGACTGTTCTACATTGTGTGGGTGATAAATAATCAGGACGCTGTCATTTTTAAGGTTTTTTATTAGTGCCGACGTTTCAACCCTAGCATGTGGGTCATCATCAGGGCTGAAAATTGTTTAATACAATCAGAGATATAATATTATAAGGCAGATAATGGTTAATAATGAAAAATAGTGATGGGTGATACATGAAATAAGTAATAATTAACAATTATACAAACTAAAAAATAAAGTATATCATTAATTTATAAGAAATGTAATATTTACTCTTACTAAACGTATTTTGAGCACTCAAGTAGCATTGGTATGAAGCCCTTGCGCCAGTATGCATACCGCTCGGGTATCTGCTAAAAGTATCAGATAAAAATATTCAATAGGAATATCAGATAAAAATATCTGATACCAATATCAGATAAAAATATCCGATACAAGTATCAGATAAAAATATCCAATGCAAGAATCAGATAAAAAGTAATAGGTAGGTAAATGACAAACCACTGATCCATTTTTATCAAATATACAAAAGTACCCATATTAACTGTATCTAGATACAAAAATTCTGGTATCAACCCATCCCTATATCTATCTATCATTCTGTAAGAACATGATGTAAATATAACTAATGTGATTCTCATTCTTAGGGTCGTGGGGAGAAACCCTGAAAAGAGGCTGAAAAAAAATATTATATAATTTCAAACAAAATTTATAAAATCCATAAAAATTTGTATTAATAAATTTTAAAGAACACTACAAACGGATATAACTTTTTCATAACAAAAATTCACATGGCCTACTTTACTGAAAGCACCTTTTGTTTTTTGTTATTTATGATACTTTATAACTCGTTTGATACCATAATTAGTATCTTTTATAATATTTTTCGACCTAGTATCACCAAGAAAAGTTTCATAATTGTGGGTAAATGGTTGACTGTCGTGAATAAGGAAGAGAAGAATAGTTGGGGTTGAAGTTCATCAGGGCTGACTGCAAAGATCATTGCTCCGATTTACATCTTTGCAGTCAGCCCTGATGATGGCGTGAACTTCAGATCGAAACGTCGGCAAATGTCAAAATAAATATTATCATTTATTTTTGCCTTCTTATTTGACTGATCACCCCAACTATTCTTCTCTTCAAGAAAGGTTTCATTGAAATTGGTGACAATACGTCCATAACCTCCCTTTTTAAGACCAAATACCCCCAAAAAACCCTAACAACTTTCGCTCCCCACACCACTACCTTAATACCTCACTGAAATTAGAAAAGCTTAGCAGTTAGTTCCTTAACCATTCTCTAATAGTTCTCTTAGGCATTTAACAATAATATAATTTGATTTGTTTTGTTATAAATACAAGCTAGTTTTAAACTACCGTTTTAAATATAAACTAAGTTAGTTTAGTTAAGTTTTAGCTTGTTTTAAATATAAACCATAAAATGTTAAAAAGAAATTCAGAAATATTTTATTTTTTTATTTCAGAGGAGCAGTGCTCATTATGGGAGGTCTGACACTCAATGTCATTATTGGAGCTCTGTTTTATGATCCTGTCGAAAAGCACATGAAGCATGTTAAAATTACCAAAGAGCCGGCCAATGGAGAAACTGTTCCAGCTGATAAAACTGTCATTGATCTTTCTCCGACTGAAGAAAAGGGAAAAGAAGCTGTTTATATTATAAAGGGACCTCCGCGCGATCAAGAATCAGAAATGCCCCTCCTTTCTCAGTCAATGGGTAGTCGAAAGATCAGCACATCAGCATTTAAAAAATCTGAATCGGCCAGGAAAATCAGTTCAGCATCGTTCGGTGGTCGCTTGATGGGTAGCACTGGTCAGATTTCGAGAAAGATAAGCGCGTACAATAGTCCAATGCAGATCGGCAGCACGGGACAGATGGCGAGAAACTATAGTGTTGCTTCGAACATGTCATCATCTTCGTTGCGTTACATCAGCACACATTTTCATGGAAGCACACTGGTCGGACTCCACCCAGAATTCACTTCAAACGCCGATATCGAAAAACCAGCTAGGAAATGGTGGTGCTGTGGCTCCGGCGGAACTGATACAGAGAAGGATGGAAAAGAAAAGACCGTCTCTCCGGTTTGGAATCTTCTTAGGGATCCTATCTACATAATTATTCTTATTTCTAACGCAACAAATGCTATCGGCTATGTAAATTTTACTATATTAGTTCCAGCATATGCCCAGACATTAGGTTTCGACAAGGACATGTCATCTTATTTGCTGTCAATTATTTCGTTAACTGACCTGATTGGTAGAATCGGTGGAGCGACTCTATCCGATTGGATTAAGTTAGATAAGAAAGTTTATTATATCGGAGGATTTTTGGTATCAGGGATTTCGTTGTCAATGCTTCCGATATTCACTACTTATTCAATGATTTCTGCTTTATGTGCCTTGTTCGGTCTTGCCTCTGGTACCTATGTTGGTATAACCGCGGTTATTATGGCTGATATATTAGGTGAAAAGCAATTAGCGAATTCTTATGGAATATCGCTTTTTGTCAATGGAATATTACAATTGATCGGGCCGCCAATATGTGGTGTTATTTACCAACAAATCGGTAGTTACGGACCGGTTATTGCAGGACTTGGAACAGTCCTGGTTGCCGGAGCTGCTGTATGGGGTGTAGTACCATTTTTAAAAAAGAAGCCGAAGACGTAGATATTATTTGTAAATAACAACTTTTTCCCCCTAGAAATAAGAAAAATGTAGGTTAATGTAAATAATGTTAAACCAGTAACATATCGCTCATATGTTGATGATGAAAATGTTATTTGTACCTGTCCAATAACTTAATCTTTTGGCCAAGAATCATGAATTGGATATGTGTTATCGCATAGAATCAGCGTGAAAATAAAACCTAATTTAAATATGGCTCTATTTGGATGAGCTTTAGTGACTGTTTCATATTGATACTAAAAGTCTGCATAAGAAATTTAGTATGCGTGATTATTTTAATTCATTCAGATTATATTTAAAAAAAGACTGTATTGTAAATGTCTGCATAATAGGTTTCAATATTATGTTCAAAAGATTTGTAGTTCCATTATTTGAACTATAATTTTTTGTAAAACTTTTGTTTTAATATTTCACAATTACTTTAGTAATTCAATGTATGCCATTATCCTTAAACATGTTTTATTTTTAGTAAAAAAAAATCTAGTTTGTTGAAATTTTGATATTTTCTCCCCTCATGATTTTAAATTGGATTATTTCCTTATTAGACATTTAATGTGTAAAATTTAGCTTATAATTAATTAAAGGAAGATATTAGCATTGTAGGAAAAATTAGAAATATTTTTGTAACGTACCTTTTTCCAATTGTATATTATCTTAGTTATAATTATAGTATTACAGCCAGAATGCAAACATGTTTTTCAGAATTTTTTTTTTAATTTCTTAATTTGTATGGATTCAGAGAAAATACAGGGTCTAGTTTTCCACTACTGTTTTTTCCTATGTACGTGTACATATCACCTATGGCCTTTATTGCTGATTCTGTATATACTACTTCTAAATTATTTTTTTCTTGTTTTTCTAATACATTTCTTATTATTTTATTAATGTAAATTTTCATTAGAAATAATATATTTTAGTATTTTTTGTTTTAATTTGTAAAGTAGTTGTATGCTAATTATAGGATGTTGCATGGCATTTTCCATTTCATGTTGTACATTATTTATATGAATTACCATTTTGAACTAGTCGAGTACGATAAAGATAAAGAAAGTATTTTGCAGGAATTGTAAATATTTGTAGGTAATGCCATGAGCGGTTAACGTTTATACAACTTTGGAATAATATATTTGGCTGTCAATTGTTTATATTTTGTAATTCTGCTAGTATAGGAATAATGTTTTGTGCTAAAAGTGTTAAGTTGAATTTAAATACTTTTTTTTTACATAAAACTATCCCTTACTGTAGGTGTTAAAATAATGTCTTGTAATAAATAAAAACATTAATGTGATACTTAACTAAATAATAATTGTGAAGTTGTAATGTAAATATTCATGTAATTGATACATTCCTTCGATCCATTATTACATCTTAATTTTAAACATATTAAATAACTTTTTATTTGAACAGAAGTATTTGTTTGAATAATAATTAAGTAAACAATACTGATTTATTTCTTAACCCCTTTTTTAATAAAATTTCTTAAACCTTTTGGAGAGATGAACACTTGAAGAACAAATATATAGATTAAATTTCTAGCCTTTGCTGATAAATGACCTAGCTTTGTTTGCAGCAACAGAATATCTATCTATTAAATTAACCAGCTGAAAGAAAGTAGCTAAAAAAAATAAATAAAATAATGATTCTTTTTTGATTCCTCACTACTGAAGGTAAGGAAGCTTTGTATTCATCTTACTTACTATGTAGCTCTACAGCCCAGGGTGGGCCTTGGCTTCCTGAATTATAGCATGCCAATTGTCCCTATTGCTCACTCTTTCCTTCCAATTCCTCACACCCAGTGTCCTAAGGTCGCTCTCAACATCTTGTAGCCATCTTTTCCTTGTTCTTCCCCTTCTTTTTGTGTCATACATTGTGGAGAACAATGCCCTATAAGGCATCCTGCTGTAGTCCATTCTAACCAGGTGGACTAACCATTCCACACGCCTAATTTTAACGAAATTAACTATGTTGGCGCTATTATATAATTCATATAGTTCCGCATTTTTTCTATACCTCCACACACCCTCTTCACAAACAGCTCCATAAATTTTTCTCAATATTTTTCTTTCAAATTGTATTCCTCTAGCAGGTAAAAAAAAAGTGTTCAGAATCGAAAATTTCCACTCACATTTTACATTCAGATATCAAGGATCAAATTTGGTTCGGTTTCTGTCTGTCTGTAATCAAATCAATGGGCCTATCTCCTACTACTGTGTATTTCAATGTCAATGTGACATTTTTGTTTTGCTTTCCCCTTCTTAGCTTTTTTGGCTACACATGACTTTTCCTGGTTCCAAGTTAAAATCCCTTCCATCCACTAACGGGTCCAGGATTAAATTTTGGAAGGGAGGGCTTCAGTCCAAAAGCTTTTTTTTTTTGCATATATATAATGATAATTACTTTGGAAAAAAATAAATAAACAAACTAACTACCTATATGAAATAGTGTTTAAGTGATTCTTGAAGTCTTATTAAATGTTATTACATGAACAATAATACTTTAAGAGATAATTTCTTAATATTTTTTACCATTTGGGGGGGCTTCAGCCCGAAAGGCTCCCCTCTCTAATATTTTGTACAGGGATGCCTATCTGACCCAAGGTCGATGTCGCAAGAATCTACCCCCCTCCTCCAACTCCCAAGATATTTTATTACTCATATTATTCTTAAAAACAGATCAAGCGAAGGTAGAATTAGATAAATCGTAGATCATACACAATTACACTTTCCAGAGGTGCCCTGAAGGGGGTTTCATGGTGCAAGTTTTTTGAGGGGGTCATATTTTAATAAATAAATACATAATAATAAATAAGCTAACTAATCATAACTAGTTCTCTATTATTATCATAAGCACGTAACAATCCTTGGTATATAATCAATTTCAGTTTATTCACATTTACAGAAAACCCAAACCATGGCGACCACAAGGGTTTAATTAAAAGTTTAGTTGTGTTTGACTCCTGTATGTTTCCTTGTCCAACCCCATATTGAAGAATATGACTAGTTTTTTATGATAAAAGAAAATTATTTTTCCATTTTTACTCTTTAAAATTTATTATGCGTGTGTTTCTTTTAATTAAGTGAATAATACGCGATTACTAAATTTTTCACGTGTACTTAAGTTAAATGAAAGTGTTTCGACATATTATCCATGAATTCTGTAAGAGAACTAATGTGTGTGAGTAGAAAACTATAGTCTTTGCCACCAAACCAAGTTTGATGAGTATAAAATTTTTCAGCTGCAGAGAAGTTTTACTGTATATTATGGTCCTCATACTCTCTCCCCAATTAATGAGACAGAACAACGCACATGAAACAAAATATGGCAAAGTTTAGATAGTGGGCCATTTCAAATATCTTGGAGAAATAATTAGTAGAACTGAGCCAGATAAACAAGTAATTGAGACAAAAATTATAACACAAAAAATACAATAAAAAGAAACTCTCTAAATGCAAAATTAAGGCATTATAATACAGTTGTAAGACCAGTCATCTTGGGTAGCTTGGAAAGTACAAATGTAACTGTAATGGAAAACTTACTTAAGATTGAGAAACATATTTTAAGAAGGATTCATGGTTGTAAAAGAACACAAGAAGGCTATAGACGGAAATAAAACCAAGAAATATGCGATAAGTCGTAGAATTAGAATTAGATAAATCGTAGATCATACACAATTACACTGGCCAGAGGTGCCCTGAAAAGGGTTTCAATAATACTGCGATATTAAGAGTGTCTAGCTCAGGAAGTCAGCAAGAAGCATTTTCTGAGGTTTGTAAACATTTAAAAAATCAAAACACTCGATTAAAATTCCTGAAAAAGTTTGGTTACTAAATTTATTATTGAAACATTAGAAGTAAGTATATGAATGATAATTATTTTATTGTTACAATTACATGTAAACCTTGGCTGTAAATTACAGCTCATCCACTCCATTATTGTTTCCTCATTCTTTCTTAGCTCTGCAATCATTAACTGGTCACGGTAAACAATAAACAAATAAAAAAAGTTGCATATTGCTATCAAGTTTAAAAAAGAAATCCATACAATAAATTAAATTATTATACCAAAATGATTGTTCTATTTTTCTGTGGGGCAATTTAAATCTTCAGCAAGGCGGGGCAACCATTTTCCTGAAACAAAAAATTTTAATTATAAAATAATTATATTTCCATAAATTAACTGCCAGTGAAGGTATAAATGGTTCAGAAATATTGGACCTGTTATTTTTAATAGGTATGTGTTAACTGAACTTTGGATCTGCTACCGATTTTCGGAAATAACAGATACGACGTAACTGCCACTAGTACTGCGAACGGCTGCTAGGAAAGTATCTTGTTCCAAGTTACTTACTTGTTCAAGAATTGTTAACTAATATCTCATTCCTAGTACAATCCTGGTCTTAGACAGGGCCGTCGCGTGAGTTATTGGCGCCCGGAATGAAATTATATCAGGCAACCCCCCTTATATCCCTCGAACTGAGCCACAAGTATATTGTCTCATGTTATATTTATTGTACTTTACTATACTCTTGAACTATCGTTTACGACCGACAAATCTCTAGTTAGCTTGTGATTTATCTGACAGCAAGTGGAACTGAGGTTAAAAATAATTCTTCCGCTAGTCGCATGATGATCTAAGCAAACACTAGTAGGAATCAATCACATGCTAATTCTTGGCACCTCTTCGGCCGGGGCTTCCTCAAGGTCACTTTTTATTATGCGAGACATTGATCTGACAGAGGTTCCCATTTCCCCAGACATGGTTTGTTGTTTTCGAATGGATTTCTTTGATTCAAGCAGTCACTGCATTTGCCGTTCTCACAGCACGGGGACGGCCCGGTCGAGGTCAGTCATATACAGATAGGGTCTCATTATATCTATTTATAGTGCGGCACACGAACATGCAGCTGACACCCAAGTGTTGAAAATCTCCGACCTACATTTTCCAACTTTGTGTAAGGCGATCACAGCTATTCGGTTTTCTTTATCACCCCACTCCATGTTAAGTGAGCGAATGATAAATACAAACTAATTGGGATTATTATCCTCTGACATGTAAACAAAATAACTTGATAGAGGTAAGGAATATCTGAATAATACCCAAGGAGGTAAACAAAGTTCAACTTTTGTAACAGTATTTATGGCAGAACTAGATAATGTATAGTGTTTAATATGACGCCCCCCTCTCCCTCTCCCTCTCCGGCGAATTCCGTCTCAAATTATAATGGCGGTAAACCATCTCCAGACTATTAGTACTCTCACTTGAACCAGCGTGGTCTCCATTATTAGTATTTGTATAAAATAAAATTTGTCCAATAAAGATAAAACCATAAGCGCACTTAATGCGCTTAATTGTTTTAATTTATATAAAGTGTGTTTGCTTACACGAGAGGCCCATTACAGCAATGATAGGCTCCTTTTAAAGTGCAGCAACTCAGATAATACACGCAGCACTGCGTTCTGGTGCAATGTTTCAATCCATAAAATCGTGCCATCACCACTTCTAAGCAACATTAAAAGTTAGTTACATTAGTAAACCATTCAAGAATGAATTGAACTTAAACTCTATTTATTAAACTAAAAGGTTATAATCAATGCCCGGATATTTAAGCAGTGAAAATCTTCAAAATAAACTGTAATAAAATATATTGAAGAGAAGGAAGGTTGCAGTGATCAGTCAAAATAATAATATTTATTTTTACATTTGCCGACGTTTCGGCCACAAATTCAGGTCTTCATCAGGGCTAAGAAAAGAACCAGATAACAATAGGTATGAGAAACTATAAACATTGAATAATAAAGAATTAAAGTAAAAACGTGAAAGGTATAGGCTATAAATGTAGGTAGAAAAAACTTAAAGCAAAATGAAGTAGATAGAGTGAACATTAAAGTAACTTAAATTAGGTAAAATAATAACAACAGAGAACTAAGAAATAGATAATAATAACGGCAACAAAGCAAGGACTAATGAGTTATACTAATAAGTTTGACATGTAAGGGACGTCATAGAGAAACGCCAGCTCAAGAGGTATGGACATGTCCGCAAGATGGAGGACGAGCGTAGATCTAGGAGGTTGATGGAGAGGGGAGGGGACGACGATCGGTCGGACGCCATAGAATCATATATAATAGTCATATCGATAGACCCGGATGAGAGAAGGGTCGATCCTGGGATAGATGAAGAGTAAGTTCCTGGATAGGGACACATAGCGAAGATCGGGACGAGACTACTCCTCGCTCAACAGCACAAAGAAGATAGAAAAACAAGAATAGAAGAATCAACTTTACTGTGGGACAAAGTATCCCTTAAGAATAACAATATTGATCATAAAAATTAAGAGTATATCTGGCCAAAATGCATATTACAATAAAAGAATAAATAAAATAAGTAATGAGAGAAGTATTTACATAGCTATGCAGATATATTAAATTTAATATTTAATTTATAAATTTAATATGAGCAATAAGGTCACAATACTGCAAAATAGTTGCTACAAACAACAAACTATGAAATGTTTGAGGAGATAGAAACAGAAGAAGGTCGTAATAAAAAGGTTACGTATCAACTTATAGGCCTGAGTTTAATCAACTAGTCGACTTTTCTTAATCGATTTTAGTTTACATATTTAATTCATTCATGTCGCTTATTTCTTATCAATTTTTTTTTACTTCAAATTATTGGGGGAGGGCAAAACTATATTCTGGCCCCCCTCAACATTTTTATTGGAGGAGAGGGAGCGACCGCTTATGAAGTATGAGCCTACGATTGTAAGTGTTGGTCTAATATTTCAATTTTGAAGAAAATTATGCAATAAATATTACAGCTTGTTAAGAAGGGAAACGATTGAAAATTGGTTTAACCTTTAATAGGGATACTAAGGCGAGATAAAAAGTAGAGATATGAAAAAAAAAAATCCAGTAGGAATTAATGTAGATTTATTGTTATGTTTCTTCTTTAAATAATCCTATGATTGTAGGATGCAATGATATCTAAAACGTCGCATTTTAATTTATTATTTCCAAATGTTTTTGTTTACATGAAATAATCCAGAGTTTATGTTTTTACTATCAAATATGCAAAAGTTTCAAATATAAAATTTGAATTGTTGCATCAATTTTGAATAATAGTCCATTACAGATAGGATGAAATTATGAACGATTCCCTCGCTAACAAAATTCAGATCCGATTTTTAGTTTCTGAGATATTTTAATCCATAAGCAAAAACGCTTCAATTAGTCGACCCCAGCCGATTTTACGATGAGATGAAACTATTTACGAAGTTTCAGCCGGATGTTAATAATTCGATAAAAAGGTATCTGTATCACGGACTATTACATTTTATTGGTTATAAAATAAAAAAAAAACGGTTAATGAAAATAAAGTTAAATCTTCTAAATAAAAACAATAATGAAATATGGAATAAAACGAAACGATATTTATATATCCCTATGAAATTATTAAAATAGTCTCAATTTCGTAAATTTGATTACAACAACGGTGACCTACACAGGCGGATTTACGAGGGGGCTTTCGGGCTGAAGTTCCCCCTAAAATGGTAAAATATAACCATGTTTTATAGAAAAAAAATATGAAAAACTATCTCTTAATGTATTATTGTTCGTGTAATTACATTAATTAGGACTTCAAGAATCACTTAAACACCATTTCATATAGGTAGTTAGTATCTTTCTTTTTTTTTTTCAAATTAATTATCGTTATATATATGAAAAAAAATCTTTCGGGCTGAAGCCCCCCCCAAAATTAAATCCTGGACCCGCTAGTGGTGACCTACAATGAGTCCACGCAACAGTATGGCCTTGATGCGCACTTACCCTTACTAACATGCTGCGCTAGGACAACTAGAGTACTTTGAAGTAAATATATTTTTCCATAACATTCATTCAATTATGTCCCACCCCCGCCCACTTTCATGACCACTGGAGAATCTACGGGGTGGGGGAGGAGGAGGCTTTAGGTCTGAAGCCCCCCACCCAAAAATTAATTTTATTTTCATTGTTCCATATTTGTTACTGTGAGTGATCTAAGATTACAATAAGCCTAACATTTACGTTTTCATGCAAATAATTGAAGCAATCAGCAGCCTTCTTTATCTTAAACGTAAATATTAGGGTTGGAAACGTTTAGTTGGTGGATCATAAATATGTATCAATATATATAATAGAGATTTATCTTTAGATTATAAATATTCGAAAAAACATTTTCTTTTAATGACTAAAAAGTGTACTTATGCATTTATATTTATAATAGTACATCCCAGATCATGTAAAAAAATAAATTAAAACTTTTGATTAATTTATTGTAGTCCTTTTTGGCTGAAAATATGGTTACTTTTAGGTGGATCCCAACACTGCCATCATCACCTATGCCGATGACACGTGTATCCTATCAGTTAATAAAGATCCTTTAATTGCATCCCAAACTCTTCAATCACATATCATAAACCTTGAAGAATGGTGTCAAAACTGGAGGATTAAAATAAATCCCATCAAATTACCTTTACCCTGCGTCGCAAACCTATGTCCTCCTGTCCTACAGTATTCTTTAACAATTCCCCACTTATCCCAGTTGAACAAATCCGTTACCTAGGACTCCATCTCGATAAACGACTCACATGGAATCCTCATACAAGACTGAAACGACAAGAAACAGCTCGACGTTTCCGACTACTCCAGCACTTATTAAACAAATGGCCTAAGCTTTCAATCAATTACAAACGACTCATATATATGACAATAAGACCTATTTGGACTTACGGAATTGAGTTTTGGGACCCACTAAACCATCGAATTCCTCTCGTATCCAATCCCTGCAATCCAAAATCCTTCGTAAAATCCTCAACGCTCCTTACTTTGTCACAAATAAAATCATCTATAAAGACCTTAACGTTTCTTATGTTTCCGATTTGGCCCAATCCAGATACCTATCCGTCCATAACAAACTCCAGAACCATCCGAATCCTCTCGTTTCCAACCTTGCTTCCTCCTCGATCCCTGATAACCCTCCGAGCCGTCTGAAAAGAAGATGGCCTCGAGATCTTCTAATATAGAACTTTAATTTGTGTTCTACCATCGGGTAGTTTTTCTTCATGTTGTACATCTCATGTTACCAATGTCACATTTACTTGTTGTATCTTTAAGTAATACAGTTGCAAATTTCATTAAAATAAAAAAATGAAAAAGCTTTTCATTAAATTATTGTAGTCATTTTGGCTGAAAATATGGTTACTTTTAGGTGACATGATATAAAATCACATACATTCCCACAACTTAGTGAATCTCAAAATTTTTTTTAACAAACTTCAACTTAATAAATATGGAATTAAAGCTTATTAAATGAGGAAGTTTTTCTAAAAGTGAGTATCTGTAGTATAATTGCAGGTTTAAAAAAAAAAAATCGCAAATAATTTATGATTTTTTTTAAAAACGGAACTTAAGTGAGTTCACCAGCTCAGAAGTCCTTTTTATATGGACTGAAAAATACTAAACTCTACTTTTGTTTGAAGTTAATTTTATCTAGTTTATTATGAAGCAAATTACTTAAACTAAATATTTTTGTAGTTATAGCTTTCTATTAAACAAGAACCCTGACTCACTTAAAAAATCACAAATCTTGAATTTTCTAATTTTCTGCTGGGAATTGAGAGGACTGTTTATATAATTTTTTTTTTGTAGATCTTGATGTTTACTATCAGCCTTTTAAATATTGTTTTCTACTTGCGGAACATCCTGTATATCTACTAAATACAATCGTGTCTTATGGAAAAAAAAAAATTATTAAAGTCATATTGTTGGTGTGATTACATTTTTAATAGGACCAAGAAGAATCACTTAAACTCCATTTCATATAAGTAGTTAGTTTCTTATCTGTTTCTTTTCTAATATTTTTTTTAAAACTTGTTTATTGAAAAACATTACAATCTGTCTCTATACAATATTTTTTTTTCAAACTTCTTTATTGAGATATTACAATCTTTCACATTCAAGGGAAATAGTAATAATGATATAGAGTAGCTCATTCCACACCACAGGCGGATCTATGGGGGCTTTCGGGCTGAAGCTCCCCCCGCCAAAATGGTAAAATGTAACCATTTTTTATGGTAAAAAATATTAAAAAATTATGTCTTAAAGTATTATTGCTCGTTTAATTACATTTAATAGGACTTCAAGAATCACTTAAACACCATTTTATAAAAGTAGTTAGCATCTTTCTGTTTTTCTAAAGTAATTATCGTTATATATATGAAATATAAAAAGCTTCCGGGCTGAAGCCCCCCTAAAATTAAATCCTGAATCCGCTAGTGATTCACACCATACAATAAATAAAAATAATAAACGGCAATATAATAATACTAAAGTAAATTGTATATAAACTAAAAGATATTAAACTAAATAAAAATAAACAAATCTAACAAAATAAATAAACCAGACATACATGGCTTGAGTGGAGAATCTGGCCATTGCCATAACTCCTATATATTCTTACAAGTCTCTGGGCCACTGCGGCTTCAACCTTCGAGGAGTATTGTAGGGATGAGTACTGCTAGAGAGGGATTGTACAATTGGATTTGGATGTGTAAGGTTTTGGTGGAATTGGAAAAAATCCCCTCACATTCCTATATGTGAGGGGAAAAAAATTTCCGGCTGAAGTCCCCTCAAAATTAAATTTTGGATCCGCTGCTGTTCATGACTCACTTAAGATTATAAAATATGAATCTTAGACAAGTTCAAACTTTTTTTTCGGGGATAAATCAAAGTTTATATGATAAGATAATTATGAGTTCATATCACAAACTTTGGAATTCATGTTCTCTAAAATAAATAGCATAAAATGTGATGATGGTGATGGGGAGGGGGGAGAGGAAATACATCATTTTTGAAATTTAAAAAAAAAACTATACCTCCAGAACTTTCTCCAGAATTTTCTTGATGACCACCAGATAACGATACCCTGGCTTCAGACCATGGTAAAATCGACAGGGCTACCAACAATAGAAGAACTGATGACCTCATGACAGTGCAAACAGTTTTTGACTGACAATCAATCATTTGCAAATTTTATATTCTCCATTCCTCTTATCTTAGTGTGTTACTAATAATATAATAACTCAGATTAAATATAATCCTCTAGATTACACAGAAAATATTTAATTTATTTTTTTGGTAATGCATATCTTTGTTAATTCTTCGTCAAATCCAACGAATGACACTGTTTTGAAAACATGCTAATATACTACTAATATTTAATTATTAACAATAGATAGATAAAAACTACTTTTAAGCCTAGACCACACAAGTAGACATGTTTCGCTATTTGTCTAGAGACGGTCCCGAGACACCGTTTTTGCCTTATATACGATGTGTGAATTTTGAGGACATAGTTTTGTGTGGAATGAGTTCCTGCTTAGTGCTAATTACAAGTCAAAGAACGAGAAATTGTAAACATTGGTGGATGCGCAGAAGAACCAAGGTTAGGTAGTGCACTATTAAATAAATTAGGATTGGGAGACGCAATGGTAATCCTCATCTTGATTGACCAGTTTCTTATTATAGCAGACCCTACACGGTAATTCATGAATGAACGTCACAAGAAGTGCCAAGATTGCCCGCGATCGCTTTGATCATGAAGACCCTTACACGTTCAATCATTACTGATCATTAGTTATCGTTGCTGATTTAGGTTAGATCGTTGCTGATACCAATTTAGCGCAGTTGTAAACAAAGAAACAGCATAGATATGCTTATTTGGACATTGTCATTTATAATATTGGGCATCAAGAGAAAAACGGAGATATAATAATTACTTCCTAGTGCCTGAAAATCGTTTAGACCAAAGTTACTCCAAAATATAAGTCAACTACATACAAAAATCTAGGAAAAGTATTGCGAAAATAATCAATTTGTTAAGAAAAATTGAAAAATTAATGGCAAATAAACACAACAGTTAAAGATTTTTTTTCTATAAGTAGATTGTGAAGTTTCCACTTTTTTTCTCTTCAATTTATTACCTACTTAACTATTTAAAGAAAAAATAGTTGAAAATGGTTAATAATAATATAGACTAGGGATATAAACAACTATTTACTTAATAACGAGACCTAGGTAAACTAACCTATCTAGTAGTAAGGTTAGTCTCATAGATAATCGTGTTTTGACAAAAGTTAGTAAAATATAAGTCTACTACTTACAAAAATTAAGGATATATATTGCGAAAATAATAAATTTGTTGAGGAAAATCGGAAAAGAACTAATAAATATACACAACGATAAAGTTTTTTTTTTCCTAAAGTAAATTGTGAAGTTTCCTAATTTTTTTTTTAATTTGTTGCCCACTTGACTATTTAAAAGAAATAGTTGAAGATGGTTTATAAAATATAAACAATGAATATGAAAAATTATTTAACTATTTACTTATAATGAAAATCAGAAATTTATAATGGTTGTGAGGCCTAGGTAACCTAACCTACCCAGCAGTATGGTTAGTCTCCCCACTACTTTTACCTCAGCCCCCCCTCCACTTCTCGTGAATGAACCTTTGGTTTCCGGATGTTCAGAAATCCGCAGCGCACCACCATCAGTACTTCATTCACTACCTTACACGACAATTCGGAACGTCATTAGTGTCTCTGAATGCAATTCCGATTGACCGTGTAGGGTCCCCTTTATATTGTTCTTTCTTCTCCATGAGTTAGTACTCTGATAACAAATTGCTCCGGTAATTTCTAGAGCGCTGTTTATTGTCCAAGTCTCACAGCCATATATTAAAAGTGGTTATAACATAACATTCTACACCCTTTAATTTGAGAATTTTCAAGATTTCAATACCTTTGAAAGAGAGAAGAAAGCTCTGTTTGTGCTAGTTATATCCTAGCCTATATCTGTCCGTTGGTCATTCATTGGTGTTATTGTGGGGCCGAGGTGTATGAATTTTTCTACTCTTGGGAATGATTTTCGTTCAATGCAGATCCTGTTATTGGAGTGAAATTTTCGGCTTATTATCATATATTTTGTTTTGTCTTCATTTACATGTAGGTAGATCAGCTCTGCCTCTCTTATCAGAGTTGTAGCGAGTTTCTCAATGTCCTCTTGATTACTTCCAAGGACAGCTATATCATCTGCGTATCCAAGGATTTTATGATTCATTCTGACGTGGTGCTGTGCCATTTTCCTGTGATGTTTTTCTTCTTCTTCAGAGCTAAGTTAAACAACATCGGTGATAGTCCATCCCCCTACTGTAAGCTCTTTGGAACGTCAACTATAAAAACAGATAATTACTTTACTTTCTAACTGCGAATTTCTAAAACTTTACTCATTTTGAAAGCTCGATAGTTCACTTCTTGTTTTAGAAAAAAACATGTACAAAAATGTTCGATAATTTTAACCTGTTAAAGATTAAATATAGCTTATAACATTAGAGAAGCGGGAGGAGATCCACGTACGCATTTTCTTCATTTCCTCGGCTAATAAAGCTTTTTTATCTATGTCGCTTTAAAAAAGAAATATTTAGCGTAAACCAAATAAAGTTCGAAATTTCAATGGTTCTTGGAGCACTGCAGCAAACCCACAAGGGTTTCAAGGGCGAAAACTTGGATTTTTTATATTCACTGCATACCTAATAATATAAAAAAAAATTGAATTACCAGACCTTTTGCAAGGTGATATGTCTTCTAATTTGACTAGGCTAATCAGTTCTTAAGAATTGTTTTTATTTTTTTTTATTTTTTTTTTATTATTATTTTAATGGAATTTACAACTGTATTACATAGAAAATACAATAAGTAAATATGAAATTGGTAACATGACATGTACAACATGAAGAGAAACTACCCATTGGTAGAACTCAAATTAAAGTTCTATATTAGAAGATCCCGAGGCCATCTTCTTTTCAGACGCCTCGGAGGGTTAGCAAGGATCGAGGAGGAAGCAAGGTTTGAAACGAGAGGATTCGGATGGTTCTGCAGTTTGTTATGGAAGGACAGGTATCTGGATTGGGCCAAATCGGAAACATATGGAACATTAAGGTCTTTATGGATGATTTTATTTGTGACAAAGTAAGGAGCGTTGAGGATTTTACGAAGTATTTTGGATTGTAAGAATTGGATACGAGAGGAATTCGATGGTTTAGTTCAATTCCGTAAGTCCAAATAGGTCTTATTATTGTCATATATACGAGTCGTTTATAATTGATTGAAAGCTTAGATCGTTTGTCTAGTAAGTGCTGCAGTAGTCGAAAACGTCGGGCGGTTTCTAGTCGTTTCAGTCTGGTATGGGGGTTCCAAGTGAGTCGTTTGTCAAGGTGGAGTCCTAAGTATCGGATTTGTTCGACAGGGATAAGAGGGCTATTGTTGAAGGATAATGTAGGACAGGAAGTCATAGGTTTACGACGAAGAGTGAAGGTTATTTGATGGGATTTATTGGAATTTATTTTAATCCTCCAGTTTTGACACCATTTTTCAAGGCTTGTGATGTGTGATTAAAGAGTTTGGGGTGCAATAGATGGATCGTTATTAACGGATAGGATACATGTGTCATCGGCATAGGTGGTGATGACAGTGTTGGATTGGGTTGGGATGTCAGCTGTATAAACTGTGTAAAGGATAGGACCTAGGATACTACCTTGAGGAACACCGGCAGACTGTAGAATTGTTAAAAAATAGATCTAAATGATTTATGCAATAAGTAACAATTCCTATTCGTTTTCAATGAACCTATTGTACAGAGAAAAAAAAAACACTAGAAAAGAGACGCCACCTTAATCTTCAATTAGTTTTAAAACTTTTGCAAGGTAACATTTCTAATTTGACTAGACCAAACAGTTCTGTCCCAGCTGTTATACAGTTGGAAAGCACATATTCCAATGAGTTGATAGTTCTAATTACCTCTATAGCTCATCTCATGAGAAGTAGATTGGTAAGTCGCTCAACCAAGTTAAGGCTATATAAGACCAGCTTCAGACCAACAGTACCCCTAGTGCACCTTTCGTGCCTATGAAGAAGGAGAAGAGGGTGTTGTGAAACAACATAACAATGTGGCCTCAAGAATTCAGAACATTCCAGGCAAAGCATAGTCAAGAAGTGAATAATATAAAACGATACTATTTCTTCAAGAATTATTTATGGACATTTGGAGAGAACAGCTACCAGCAGAAAACGGTTTGTTGCATACGTAAGTAAGGAGATATAGTTTGTGTAATAATTACAAAGATATTTCTCTCTCCTATTAACAATATGGTTAATCATTATTTTTAATATATTACTTCCATTGCTGAATAAAAGACATATCAATCAGAAGAAATATCAATCTGAATTCTGAAAAGAGAGACTTCAATGGCAAATCATAATTTCTAAATATTTATTTTCTAAATAGGGAAATAAATAACTTCATAAAATATTTATTAAGTTCATAAATATAACTGAGTTTCTTGAAAAATACTCATTATTGATATAGTTTTTAACAATATTTTAGACATTTGGCGCTCCCAGGCAATGTCATCTCCAAAAAATGGAATTGATTTCTTAAGCTGTTTTATATTGAGTAATATATAATTTTATTTCAATCAATATGTCTCTAATTCAGTTGCTTTATTGATAGGCTAAAATTAATTCTTCTTATATGTTTTGTTATTTAATTTTTTATTCTTACCAATTCACAGAGGTGAATTCTGTTGGAAAAGGCAAAGGAATACCAGATACATAATCATCACATGTGATAATCTGATCAGAGAAGGATCATATAAGGCAATTATGAAAGTGAATTTACCAGCCAAATTGGTTCAGCTGATAATAATGATAATGGAGGACAATCTCTGCTTTGTCACTACAGGAACAGATGTATAGCAGGATGCTGAACCTCTTTAGTATTTAACTCCTGCCTCACAAAATCATTATAATCGCATGTAACAGGAACACTTGTAAGCAGGAAAGTCCAGATTTTAGATTTGGATCTTGCAGGAAGGACCCTCAACATTGTGAGGGAAGCTTTTCAGGCGTTGGAGGAGGCTGCAACTAATTACCAGTAAAGATGATTAAAGTTCATACGGCAGTATAGATTTTAAAGTGT